AAAAACTCCAGCTGATAAAAGAGTAGCAGAAAGGGTCTTGGTGCTGCTTAGGGCCCATGGCCCACATTGTACATATCCCTAGTCCATGATGCACACTTACTCACTTCTTCATCATCCTCACCCATTAATTTACATCCCTAGTCCATGATGCACACTTACTTCTTCATCATCCTCACCCATTAATTTACTTATGCATTTGTGTCTAACTACCATGCCTACCAAAAGCAGTGTGAGAGTAGGAAGGTGGAGGCAGAAACTGGCTTCATGTTCTGCAGGTCCGCCAAAGAAAACATGAGATCTAAAAGGAAAGAGAATATTTGGGGTGTTTTCTTTGGGAAACGTGGTCGCGGTGTCTAAAATCATCCAGGGTGTAAAGTCAACAGGGAGGAATTTCTCTACCTTAGATTAGAACTCAGTGGGTTCATCTGGTTGAACGAAAAGGTAGGAAGTTCAAGGTAAATAAAAGGATGTACTTCTGCACACATCACCTAGGTAAGCTGTGGAACTCCTTGCCACAAGACATAGTGATGGTTCCCAACTTGCATGGCTTTAAAATGGGATTAAATAGGTTTGTGGATGGTACACCCAGCAATGACTAGTAGGCAGGTAAGGTGACCCAGACTCACAGAATTTCTGCCTGCAGCCATCACTCTGCGCCAATTCCTTGGTTGCTGACTTTGAGGTAGAAACAGAGCTTGAAAAACTAAGAGCTTCTAGGAATTGTGGGATTCCCCCCTTTAAAAAGTTTTTCCAAACTCTGAGCAAAACAAGGTAAATGGATAATGTCTCCATTTTTTTTGTATCTAGTTTTATTTTCAATCTTTTCTTCTAACCCCTGTTCTTTGGAGCTGTCTATCTCAGCCAGGTACGCTTCAGTGGCGTTGGACTACAGCTCCCATCCTCCCCAGTTGGGAATAATTTGGAGTTGTAGTCTTCCAGGGCTGTAGGGCTGAAAGGAACACTTCCCTAGCCAGTCTCAGCTTTGAAGTTTCACAAAACGCTTTGTACCTTACTGTGCCTCCATGCTCATTTCAACCGCCCAGGCACTTCCTAGGTTTATGAGAATATTTCCATAATAAGAGACATATGTGCAAAGGCACATGGGGAAGTTGCAAGCAGGCTTTGCAAGCTTAACACTCTCATCCTACAGCACATGGTTTCTCAGAAATATAGCTGAATTTTCATGGCTGTGTGGCTTAAACCTGTACCCAAGCAGTACCATTTCAGATCGGGATGTTACGTCGCTGAGTGTTCTTCTTTTTCTTCTTCTTTTAAATTCTTGCATGTACAAAGTTAGAAAGGAATTTTAATAAAAAACCTTAACACCTAGCTTTATACCCAGGCAGTACCATTTCAGATTGGGATGTTACGTGGCTGAGTGTTCTTCTTCTTCTTTTAAATTCTTGCATGTAGAAAGCTAGAAAATTTTTTTAATAAAAAACCTTAACACCTAGCTTTCCAGCTTCATGGAGTGTTGTTGGTTCTGATTGAAAGAACGCTCCATTTTGTGAGGTGCAATTTGCTGTGAGACACAATATAACCCTGGTACGAATTCAGAGAAAGTCAGTCCTTAATGTAAAAACATACAGCCCTGGTAGATTGGGTCCAAGATTTATCTGTTCCTCTGTTCTATTGCCCACAGTGGTCAATCAGATATCCATAGGAATCTTTCATATAGGAGTGGAGAGCCGGAGCCCAATGCTTCCCATTGCCTCTGATCCTGCACAGTCCATGTCATCAGAATAACCACAAATTTCTAATAGCTTTTGTCTTTTAAATTTGGCTTATTCAGAGCCATCAAGCTTAGTGCTGTGCTCATTAAATCATCATCATCATCATCATCTTAGAACATAGAACTGGACTCTATGGATCATCGGGTCCAGCCCCTATCAAGGAGTCATAGTGGGGAATTGAACTCCCCACCTAGCTATCTGCAGTCAGAGACCTAAACCACTGAGCCATCTGAGTTTAATGGATCTCACTGCACACCAGAGCTAGGAAAAGTTACCTTACATAGATTATAAATCCCAGAAATTCCCAGCCACCATGGCTTCTTGCCATAATGCTTTCTCTGTTAAATAGTCACAAAAAGAACTTTATTCACCATTTTTGTACCTACAGTTGGATTATTTGGGGGAATCATGTTCCAATTATAAATATGAGTCAATGGGCAGGACTGCAATTAGGTGCAGTGGAGGCTGGCGACTCCTATTTTCTTGCCTAATCCATGCTGGGCATTAGTCTGAACTTCACAGAACCTGTCCAAGATGCTGAACCCTATCATAGAGTTTAGCACCTTGGACAGCTTTCAGAGTTCTAAAACTCGGAGTGGATTCACCGACCCTATGAAACTGGAGTCCCTGGCTTTGGTTGGGTGCCAGCACTGAAAAGTCCTCCCTTACCTTTGTTCATCATTCTTCCAAGTGAAATCAGGTCTACCTGGGGAAGAACTGGCAAAACTGATCTTACCTTTCAGGCAAATAACTATGAGACAGGCATCCGGGTCCAAAGGTTTATGATGGTAAAACCAACCATGTGGAGGTGACGGAGAAGTATCAGCAGAGCTGTCCTAGCAAGGAGGGTTGCTTGTGTGGACAGCTTTGCAGGATTATTTGGCTAATTCAGACGTTAGGGACTCGGGGCCTTCCAGATGATGCTGAAGTCCAGTTCTCTAGACAGCCTTCTCAAAGAAAAAGAAGCTTGACGGGAGTAGCCGTTCTTCAACACCTGGAGAGCTACCGAAGAGCCCAATTTTGGGGTTGTTTGAGTTTTGCAGTCAGTGGATTTCATAGAAGAGACACCTCATTTCTCTGTCCTGACTTATTTAGTGGAAACTGAAATGAGGATTGCTGATTACAGTGGTGAAAGAATTGGCTGCTTTGGGTGAGGGCAGAAGTGGCAAAAAAATGCTGATTCTCCTCATACAGTACAAGACAATTCCTTTGTTCTGGACTCTTTTACCTTCATTCCAGCATCTTTGATGATTAACGCTCTGGGGGTAGGGGGTCAAAGCAAAGCCTCCTGCAAAATAAGTGTGAGCCATCGAGTTTTAAGACAAGCAGCCTAGTCGAAAGCTCCCTGGATTGTTGTTTACATGTTAATTTTCCATCCCTCTGATTGAAGGAGGCCTCTCCGAAAAAAAATACACACAACAAGCTTCCTGTTTGCCCCTTAATAAATCTGTATTGAGGGGCAAACAAGAAGCTTGCAATAAATAAATCTGGTACGGATTTATTATCAGTATTTGGAAGTGCAACCCCCACTATGATTGGGTCAGTGGGATCAGCTAAGCAAAGTTTGGTTTAATAGGTTGCTGAGCGTGGGGAGTTTCCATAACCCAATTCCAGAAAATCTGGGTGGTTAGATCTCTCGCCAACAGAATGCCCTTGTTTTGCACACCCTCACACAACTGGATTTCTGCCCGGGAAACTAACTGAAAAGGTGTGCCCAAATCGGTGCTTTTTCCTTGGGCGTTACAAACCATTTGCCTGATTCTGTACTTGCGAAATTAAGTCAATTGCATAGCCTTCCGCTGTTTATTTCTGGGTCCCTTCCCTCTCCTTCCTCTGTCATTTCCTCTGCGTGTCCTAGTTAAGTCGGAAAGCCCCTCAAGGCAGGAACCTGTCCTTCCTGAGCTGTGCAAAGTGACAGCCACATCGAGGGGGACATATAAACAAAGCAGGCAAAGGAATGCAAAAGAGGTGTTGAACTTCATTGAGCTACAGATGCCTTTGTCCACAGGATAGATCCATAGCCTGGACAAATTTCTGAAACACCCCACCACCACCACCACCCTATTAGTATATTGCCAGGGATATAACTCAGTGAGTTACATATCTGGCAGAAGTCAGGAGTGATTCCCCTTCCAGGGGAAGTCATTGAGCTACAGACCCCTTTGTCCACAGGAGAGATCCACAGCCTGGAGAAATTTCTGAAACACTCCCACCACCACCACCCTATTAGTATATTGGCAGGGATATAAGTCAGGAGTGATTCCCCTTCCAGGGGAAAGAGCCAGCCTAGGTAGCTTTGGCCAAGCTGCACAGTCCCAGGGCAGCTCCAGAAGAAGGGAATGAGAAACCATTTCTGAGTGCTCTCTACCGGGAAAACTCCAAAAAGGGTTGTCTAAACCAGAATTGGCTTGATGCCATGGAATTATTATTCTTCAGCTTCAAATTGTGTATCAAAAAGTAAGTTCTCCAGGCATTAGGTATGCCATCTCTCACTTCTTCAGCTGGATAGTTCAGCGAGTTAGATATCTGGCTGGGAGTTCAATTCCTGACTGTGTCTGCTATAAGTAGAGACAGCCTGTGTAGCCTTGGGCAAGCTGCACAGACATCCACGTGGAGCTTGCCCAAGGGGTATACTTTGTTGCTTTTCTTAGATAGCAAAATGCATTGGTCCAGGCCAGCAAGCAGATCTCAAAGAATAATATATAATAGAGGAGATTGCCTCTGAACATGTGCAGAGCACCTTTGCCATGCCACTGAGCAGCAGCAGCTTAACTAAAATGAAGGAGGAGGAGAGGTATGAACTGCCAAAGGAACAGTTTGGTTGATGGACGGGATAAAAATTATCCCAAACAGAAAGATCAGGAGACAGACGTTCCAGCTTCCAAAGGAGTATACCTTTGAATGATGCTTCCTAAAAATTGGTTGATGCATCTGAACACCATGGGAAGCAAGATACTGGGCTCCGCATGCCTCCTTCTGGTCCAGCAAGTCTTGATTTTATATTGTTAACTGCATTGGACATCTTAGGATGAAATTACAGAAAACAGCAAGAGAAAACTCTGCAAGCCAGCTGTGATGGAGCGGAGTCCTAGCTCAGTAAGCCTGCTGAAGGTTTGAGAGACTGCCCTGCCTATTCCCTAGAGCCTTGCATTTTATTTTATTTTATTTTTCAGCTCCACTCCCACCCCCTCCTTTCTCCACTTCCAGCAGCTGTCATCTGATCCTCTCTTGCTTTGAATGGGCCTCTCTCTCTCTCTCTCTCTCTCGTTCCAGATGTTGAAACAAAGGTCTAAAAATAATCCTTCCACCCATCTTTCTAGGGCGGCGGAGAACGCAGCCCCAAAGCAGTGGCAAGATCCGAGGAGGGCCTGATCAACCTTGAAGCGGAGAAACTTTCTGGATGCCAAGCAGGCTCTGTCAGTACCGGATTCAAGGTCTTTTTTTAAATGTCTCTGCCAGAGGATTGGTATCCAGGAGGGGGCAGGCCAGGCAAGCTGTACATTTGGCCTGAACAATCCGCTTCCTTTTCACCCTTTTTTTTTTTCCTCCTCCAAGAAAGTTGAAGCAACTTTCATCCCCTCTGCATTGGATTTCCATTTGATTTGCTCCCCCTTTTTTTCCCCTCATGGTGTGAAAATTTTCAGCAGAGACTAAAATGGGATGCATCAAACGGCACTTCTGCACCAGACTCTTTGCGGTGGTTTCATGCCTCATGCTGCTTCTGTGCCCGCACTTGAGCTGTGCCAAGAGGCGCTGGAGAAGAACTCCACACCTGAAGCTTGCGGAGAAATACGATGTAAGTACATTGGGTTTTGAGCATGGAAAGCTAGGCATGTTCACAGAATGTGAGAGAAGGCGCCTAGGAATTCATGCAATCCAGCCCCAGTCAATGCAGAACATACGGTGGGGTCTCTCTGCGTGTATGTGTGTGCATGATGTGTTTTACAGCATCTTCTTTGATCAAAATCCTAGAGCGAGTGGAAGCAAAACATGGCTTAGGGACATATGTGGAAAAAAACAGAACTTAGAAATGTGACTTTTCGGAGGGGGTGGGAAGAAATTGATACTCCAGCTGGTTTATTCCTCTATGGGCTCTTCTGCTGGAAATGTTGAAATTGAGCATTAATTTCTAAAGATAATTTATTTTTGCACTATATATGAATTAATTCTCATTTGCTGTGCTGAGGTTGCTTATATCTGTTGCCGTGCTTTAGCTGTTATGATAGTAAACATGTCTTGACTGTCACGTGAACTGAAAGGTTTGTCATGCTTCTTTTTTTTATGATTCTCTGGTAACTCTTAAAGTGCAAGCCTTACTCTACATGTTACTCAAGGGTCAGAATCCCTGAAGTCAGTGGTGGTTACCCCTGATTTAGAGACTCACACGGCTGTAGTCACAGAACCTGCTTCTTGTTGAGAAAATATGCCCACATCAAAACCATCTTAAACTGCAAGAGAAAGGATGTGATTTTTCAGGTAGATCCAGGACATTCTCCTTTTTCTGTTTTATTTTTTAAAAGACCAAGGCAACGAAAAGAGAAGAAATCAATTAAGGTTCAATTCGCTGGTACAGTATTCAAATTAGACAGCACACATTCTGACACAATGCATTGATGAGCCGTTGCAAATCTTAAACTCACTTGCAACGTTTTTTGAAAAACCTCCACGTTAAAGGCTCCCACACATTTAACATCACAAGTAATTCAACCTGAATCTCCAAGGTGGGAGATCTGAATGGAGAGAGAGAGAGAGAGAGAGAGAGAGATGAGGTTGCTACATGTGGTTAAATTGGAACTGACTTATAGCAAACTTGTTAGGGATTTTAAGGCCAGTGAGATATTTAAAGAGTGGTTTTACCCATTCCACAGCCCAGTGAATTTCTATAGCTGAGTAGTGATTTTAACCCAGACTTTTTGAGTCCTAGTCCATTACTCTATCTGCTACACTACACTGGCTATCGAGAGAGACAGAGAGATGGATTGATTTTCAGGAGGAAAACTTTCAGGTTTAAAACTAAGGCTACTTCCCCTGTCTCAGAGTTCTCTTAGCTTTCTGACACCTTCTTTGCCTAGGCAGAGCTGAAAAGGGTCCATGAGCAGAAAGCAATAATTATTTGTAACTGAGATTGGAATTAGATGAATTCAGGGGAAAGAAGGAGTCTGTTAGAAGTATACTAGGCAGCCTGTCAGAGTGATGGGCATAAAATACAGAGGATAACTCTGGGCCAGTCAGATGCTTTCAGTCTCTCTTTCTCTCTGTCTCTCACTCACCAACACAAACACAAACACACAGAGAGAGAGAGAGAGAGAGAGAGAGAGAGAGAGAGAGAGAGAGAGGGAGAGAGAGAGAGTCTGGCCTCACTGGCAGGGGAAGGCTGGGAGACGTAGTCCTACAATGTAACTTTCCCATAATTGGATTATTCCCCCAAATCTGTCCTCCTTTGGGCCACCCTTCTATTCCTTTCTGGCACCTGGAGGTCTCTCAGACAGAGAAGTAAGAGAATGTGTGTGTGTGTGTATGTGTGTGTGTGTGTGTGTGTGTGTGTGTTTCTGATGGCTTGTCATTACTTGCCCTTCTGCCTGTTATAATGCCTCTAGGCTATTTGAGCTCAGAACAAGCCGACACAGGAGTAGAACACACTGAATTGGCAAGGTGCCCATCTGTCCTGGACTCTTGCCATCATCCCATGCATGTAGGAGAATTAAAGATGAACACACTTTGGGGGAAAATTAGAGGCTGAGGAAGACCATTTTGAAAGGAATTTGCTCCTGTCCCTAATCACCTTCTTCTTGTCTGTTGTTATGTGCTGTCATGACGCTTCCGACCCAAGGCAACCCTATGAAGGAGCGATCTTCAAAATGTCCCGTCCTCAAAAGCTGCTGGTTAAAATATTTTTTTAAAAAAGTAATTATCAGTCTTACCTGGTGCAACACAATGAGGATCGTGGGGCCCCACAGCTCTTGGTATGCCCCTGGATCTCTCTTCCCCCCCCAAGAAATTGGTTCAAAATGGGGGAATTACTCTCCTTCCAAACAAAGTGCAGTCTGCCCCTCTTTAAAGCCTTAAGGAAATTTTCAGAAAAGTAGAAGTGGACTTCAGCTACCTCCAGTTACATTTTTTCCATATAAAATATATATTTTGGAAGGTCGATGTGGACCTTCTTTGCTCTCCTGACGATGCTGGTGAGAGGATCCTGGGGAATGTAGTCCAGAAATATAACTTAGTCAAACCTCTTGCCAGCAGTCATGATGAAAGAACTCATGCCTTCAAAAGGTCGACTTTGGTTTGCATCTCAGAATTGAATGGGCCAGGAGGGAGTTAAAATCCCAAGAGCGGAAGTCTACTGTAGGGCAGGTGGAAGTCAAAAGAGACCAAAGCATTGTTTGAGATTGAAAAGGCAAGGCATAATGTTCATGGTTTCCTTGAAAGACCATTTCCCCTTATTGTTCGAAGGAGCTATCTAGGGTTACTAAGAACAGGAGGGGGAAAGCAAAGTGAAATTAAAAGGCTACAGAAAGGGTTCTCCTTTTCAAAGGAAGGGATTGGGAAGTAATTTAAGCCAAGGAGCCAATTAATTTGAAAGCCAATTAACAAACCGGATGTCCGGGGGTGGGGCAGACTCACAGTTTGCCATTCTGCAGAGTTCTGCGGCTCATTGACCAGTAAGATGCAGAATGGCTAATAAGCCATGATGTGACCCATGTCAACTGAAAAGCAAGTCTCGTTGTGTTCAGGGTGGCTGGCTACCAACTTAGCGCAGGCAGCTTGCGACCAGGAGAACCCCTTCCAAAATGTGTTTGGTGGGGTGAGGTACCCCTTTGTTCAACCTATGCACCATTCCTGCTTTCTAGTGTGGTTTTATAGGACAAGAGCATTCACTTATCCTCTCAATGAATAGGTGAACATTTCATCACCTCTTTTCTATTATAATTTAACAACGTTCGCAAATTTAATTGCCGGATGGTGGCAGAAGGCCCCTTTCCCTTTGGAGCAGGTGGCCATTTCTGTTTTGTTTCTGTTATAAACCCCAAATGTTCTTTGTTTGTTTGTCTGTTTTATTTATAGTCTGCCTTTCTCCCGATATAGAGGACCCGAGGCAGCTGACAATATTAAAAGAATAGAATTAAAAAGATAGTAAATTGAACATTAAGAAAATACCTAAGCTAGATGCTAATTAAAATACAATTGAATAATTAAAATCAGGTAAACATTTAAAAATGGTCTTAACTTTAAAATGGCATTCAAGGACTCTGTTGTGATTGTTAAAAGCCTGCCTGCCGAGATGGGCTTTCAGCTGTTGATGGGATGATAAAAGGGAGGGGGGGGAGCCAACCTGACCTCCCAAGGGAGAGCAAGTCCATAGCCTGGAAGCTGCCCCAGAGAAGGCCCTCTCCCCTGGCCCCATCGGCCATGCCTTCACTGCCAATGATCAAGAAAAGGGCTTCTTCTGATGCTCTTAAATGCCAAGAAAGCTCCTATGGGGAGATGCAGTCCTTCAGATAGCCATGATAAAAGGGAGGGGGGGGAGCCAACCTGACCTCCCAAGGGAGAGCAAGTCCATAGCCTGGAAGCTGCCCCAGAGAAGGCCCTCTCCCCTGGCCCCATCGGCCATGCCTTCACTGCCAATGATCAAGAAAAGGGCTTCTTCTGATGCTCTTAAATGCCAAGAAAGCTCCTATGGGGAGATGCAGTCCTTCAGATAGCCTGCACCCAAGAGGCTTCTTCTGATGCTCTTAAATGCCAAGCTCCTATGGGGAGATACGGTCCTTCAGATAGCCCCACCCAAACCATCTAGGGCTTTATAGGTAATGACCAGCACTTTGAACTGGGCCTGGAAATGGATTGGTAGCCAGTCCAGTTGTTGTGGCAGGGGTGTTACATGCTCGCTATAACGGGCCCCACTCATATAGTCTGGCTGCTGCATTTTGAACCAGCTGAAGTTTCTGAACTGTCTTCAAGGGCAGACCCACATAGAGCGCATTACAGCAATCCAAGCAGGATGTAACTAAGGCATATGCCACTGCAGCCAAATAAGACTTCTCAAGGAACAGGGGCAGCTGGCATGCCGGTTTTTAACTGTGCAAAAGCATTCCTGGCCGCCATAAACATCTGGGCATCCAGACTCACGGATGAATCCACCCAGGCTACAAACCTGAGCTTTTAGGGGGAGTGTAACCCCATCCAGGAGAAGCTGGATCTCTCTTCTCTAATCTGCTTTTCATTTTACCAGGAGCATCTCTGTGTTGTCTCAATTAAATTTCAGTTTTGCTCTCATTCAGCCCATTACTGAAATTCACAAAATTCTAAAGCAGAAAAAAGCAAAATGGACAAATTTGGTCTCTCTCTCTCTCTCTCTCTCTCTCACACACACACACACACATGCAGAGAGAGAGAGAGAGAGAGAGACAGAATAAGAAGCTAGGCATTCACAGACGTTTTACAGAACTGACATTTCTGCATTTCCAGCCGTTTTTCAAGTGAATAAGAAGCTAGGCATTCACAGAAGTTTTACAGAACTGACATTTCTGCATTTCCAGCCGTTTTTCAACCTGGCCCTTTCCAGTTTACTCTACCTAACATCCCCAGCTGAACCAGTGGGCTTGCTTTCTAGGGATTAGGGGGCCTGTAGTCTAACAGACCACTGCTATAATAAAACAACCTGCATCTTTGAGTTTGAATTATATTGTCAGCGAAACCTAGGCTTGGCTGGCACTCAGTGTGACGTGCTGGCTGAACTAAAAATAGAAGTCTTCCAGGTGTGTGTGAACATGTGTGCGAAATCTGAGCCTAGAGGGG